ACTCCATGGGAATTATACCAACCCCTATGTTTAGTCTTATCAGACCTACCCATAATTGGTATATTCAAAGTTACTTGGGACTCACTGAAACTTGGGAATTATACAAGAATGAATCATTTGCAAGAGGCTCCAGCTCCGTTTATGCCTCAGTTTGGTAATAAAACCATATAACCCCTAACAGATGTGGACCTCTCAGAACTAGTCTATTACCTGAAAAGGGCCAGGTGCTTGTGTTGAACTTCTTCAAACCAGGCCAAAGTAGGGACCCATGAGAGTAATGAGATGGAGCATATGTCTTATGTTCTTTGTGTATGAATGAGCACTCAAACTGACGTCTAAGATCACTAATGTAGATATGTCCTTTAACAATATATAATGTATAATAATCCATCAATGAAAGCTCATCTATTGTAACTCTTGTCCAGGTCTTCCCATCAGTTTGCCTCAAATAATCCAATCAATGTGCCTGGAACCTTCTTTATTTTCTCCTGAAATTAGAAGAGTAACAATGGAATAGCCATCAGTTGGATGTCCTTTGCTCTTACCACATGCCCAATTGGTTTCCATATTATCAATAATCCTTATAGTTACATCAACTCAGAGTGAAGTGTTATATCTGTTCCTTGAAATCCTGGACCTGATTAGAATTGCCTCTCAGCTAAAAAAGTAAAAGGAATATTTTCCCATGGCTTGACTGCTTTAATCTAAAAATGGAGTGGGGGGAGGGGAGAGGGAAGATCTTAAAGGACTGTATGGCTTATTCATGCCAAAGGGCCTCATTCTGATCTCACAAGAACATTAATGGAAGATGATTTAAATTCCCTTTTGTCTCTTTTGGGGAAACTGCTTCTTTAGAAGAAAGAACTTTGTTCCTTCTAAGAGTCTTTTTTGGATCATCTGGTGGCATCTCACTACAGGTACAAAAGAGTTCCATATCTAATCTCTGCAAACAGTTCCATGTGGAGTATGTGTCAAGGGGAAATTTTTGTGTCAATATCCCTTGAGAAGCTATTAGGGAAATTACTGTTGCCCTGATTTCTTCACAGGTCCTATAATGAATGATTAACCACTGAAAATTGAAATGTTTTAAAAGCATTCTAATTTACCCCATCCCCCAAAACCCAGTCAACACTAATAATGGAACTAAAAAGAAGAAAAAAAAAAATCTTTGGTGTGTTCTCAAAGGAAGGTGGGAAAAACAATGCATAGCATTTGATACTTTGAACTTATGTGTGTGTGTGTGTGTGTGTGCATACGCATGTGTATGTGTGTATTGTAGTTATTCATCTATGTCCATGTTATTTTCTCCCAGTGCAGTGTAAGTTCCCCCAGGGGTTATTTTCTTCTTTGTCTTTGCATTTCCAGTTCCTAGAACAATGCCTGGCACACAGTAGGCATTTAATAAACACTTGTTGAATGGAATTGAATTACACGCAATATAGTATACTGTAGCAGGAAGACTAGCAAAGTAGGAGTCAGGAGATCTGGGTTCTAGTCTAAGCTCTGCCATTAACTTGCTGAGTGACCAAGGGTAAGTCCCTTAACTTCTCTGGACCTGAACAGTAGAATCTGTCAAATGGAGATGATAACGATACTTACAAGGTTGTTTTCATATGATATATATGGAGGCTCTTTGAGAAGTATGAAACTCAGGTGTAAGGGGGGAATTTTATTATCATGCTTAAGAAGATCCTCTGTAATATGAAACTGAATTGGAAAAATCTACAGGAGCCAGGAAGGACTTCTCTTATAACATGAATTGCACAGGATCGTGTACCATCTTTTATTCTGAAACATACAGAGGAGGCTAATTTGCAGACAAAAAGGTCAATGAGTTATTCCATTTGGCATCTTCTCCTTTCCTAGCCCCAACATCTTGGGATTCTATATATACATAACTATTAGCTACGCAGGTGCGTACCTCAAGTTGCCAAGCTGAGTTCCTATTGTCACGTCTCCTATTTGTACAGTATGTGCACATGTGTTCTGTAGCTGGAGGGATAAATGCTCTACTTGATGTTTTGCCTTTGGGATAAACATGTAATACAATTCATGAGACTTGAGGTCAAGGGGCATATTTCTACCCTTGTCTGGTTGATGGAAAAGTTTAGTGAATAATTTTGTCTCTTCCCTTTCCACCTCCAGTCCCCTGCTGTACCTCCCACTCAAAACAGAAATAAATAAATAAAAGGTGCCTTCTTTGAGCAAAATGAAGAGTTTCACTACAGCAGACAACTAGAAATTTAGTTCTATATCAGTATCTTTCCCCATACTGTTTCATATATTATAGTAGCTCAGGTAAAAAGATCTTTGGTATAGCAACAGAGAAAAAAAATCACCTAACCTTCTAAAAAGGGATTAGAATGTAGATTATTTCTCTTCCCCAAACACTGTGGTTACTTTTCCAACTGCTTGTCAGGCAGAGGCCTTCCAGAGACCATGTTTAGTCCAGCACTTTGACTGGATAATTGTGGAGCATCAGGGTCAATTAGTAACCACCACCACAAAAAAAAACACCCAAACGTTACAAGGAGAGGAACTAAACACCAACTTCACAGCCATACGGGCAGGAGATCACACAGCCATTCCATGCTTCTAGGGCCATAAAGATGCATTGGAAAAATCTGAGTGAAATTCACCAGATTCTCTTCGGTTAATGCAAATTTTTTATTATAAAGTCATGGAATGCAAACCCGCCCAAAACTGTAAAACTGCTTCATGAATACTAACGAATTGTAAATGCACTAAATCAGAGGAAAGACTACTATTGAGAGTCACAGAAAACAACCCTAGCAATTCGAGATTAAGGATTCTAATGTTAAACAATTCATTCTCATCCACCCAGATAATTTTGCAGGGAAGTTCTAGCTAATGCCATGGCAAATCCTCTTGCACCTCAGACCAAATTATGAATGACATAAAACAATCACAAAAGAAAAGTGCTTTTGGGAGTGGGGTGGAGATAGCATATATGAGAGGGAATCATGAGGCCTGATCTGCAGTTCAGGGAAATAAAAATATCTTTTTATTTGGCCATCCTGTCTATTCTATCTAAGAGTATAAGCCTCTAGTGGGCAGAACACATCTTTCAGTTTGCACAAAGTACTGAGGGCAGCAATTAACAAAAGATTAATTAATGTGTTTTTTGTTGGGGCATTTTTCAGTCATGTCTTCGTAACCCCATTTAAGATTTTCTTGGCAAAGAAACTGGAGTGATTTGCCATTTCCTTCGCCAGCTCATTTTATAGATGAGGAAACTGAGGCATACAGGGTTGAGCGACTTGTCCAGGGTCACACAGCTAGTAAGTTTCTAAGGCTAGATTTGAACTCAGGAAAATAAGTCTTCTAGACTCCAGGACTGGCACTCTATTCACTGCGCCACCTGGCTGCCCTAATTAATGTATACACAGACAATTTTACAATTCTGGGTTAGATGGAAAGAATTTTAGAATTAGATCATGGCCCAATCTAGTCATGAAAGCTGTGAAAAACATCAGAAAAACCCCATTTCTATCCATTTACCCTCACCCAGCCCCCAGCCCCACCCCATACCAGGTACAGAATTCTCCTCTCTCAACTGGAATACTAGACTATGAATGCAGCATCATTCAGTTCAGCCAACAGAGGAACAACTAAGAAAGTGAAAATGCACATACATTTAAGTCTACTTCAAGTAAGCAGTTTAAAGAGATCCCAAGAAATACGCCACTAGAAACATTACATGGACCTTACAACCAACTTGAATGGAGGGAAGAGCACTGAATTTGGAGTAAGAGGAATCCACCAGAATTCTGACTGCCCCACTTACTGACCCTAAGTCATTTAACCTATTTGGGCCTGTTTCCTCTTCTGTAAACTGAAAAGCTTGAATCAGATCACTTCTAAGGTCCCCTCCAAGGTGAGGTCTTTTACAAACCTGAGTCTGTGTGCCAACTTCCTCATGAGCGGAGCCAGGAAAACTACTCTAAAGCAATGGTCTCTAAACATCGTGGTTTTACTAGCGACCTTGAAAGCCTCACCTAGCCAGATCTTCAAGGTAGCTGTTAGGATCACTTCTAGGAAGTCTGTTATCATTCCCTTCCTGGAGAGAAACCTAGGCAGAGGCGACGGCAGCGGCAGCAGCAGCAGCAGCAATGGTAGCGGCCACCTTTAGCATCCCCCAACTACCTCCCCACATACGCACCTGCACAGCAGGGACTCCAATGTTAGCAGCTTTCCCACCTCAAAAGACTTCCCATCCCAACCCTCCCTTCCTGACAGCCTCCCCCACCAAAGCTTTGGAAAAATGAAAAGCAACTTTCCTCTACAAAAAAGAATCAAGATACCCCCCTAGTATTGAGACTTGGTGTTCTATGAAAAGGAAAACCAGTAACAACCAACTTTAGTCCTAGAGATTAGGTCAGACCTTCAGAGCCATAAGCAGGAACTGTTGTACCTTCAGCAAATACCATAAACCACACATGGGGCCAGGGACTTGAAGCACACCTCCGCTGGGAGTGGGGAGTGGAAAGAAATAGAGACCCTGGGACCCTAGTGTGAAGCCTGCTGGGGAGACCAAGCTAAGGAAAGACCTCAGCCCAGCCAAATACCTGATAGCTCCTGATTTTACCTAATTACCCTTGCTAACTAGTTCTGTAGTAAGCTCTAGCTTCTATGCTACAAGAGGACACTCTTCTAAAGTCAGCATCCTGGGGGAAAGTCCTGGTCACCCAACCACAGTTCACACGTCCTCATAGAGAAACTGGAAGGAGAACATTGCATACACCATCAGATTTCATCCCTCTATCAGTTGTTTATGCTCTACTATTTTGTTTGCTACCAGGGAAGACTCAATTCTTGGAGGGATTTGAGAGGATGGTGGAAAAGTGTGGTATATCTGGAAATGACTATAATATAAAAACAAGAGGCAGCCATCAAACTCAATTTCAAAAAAAGAATGAGTGTTCTTAGGAACTTATATATTGAGATGAGGCTGCCAAAGAAACAGAAAGGAATCCTACCTGTTTCCTCCTTTCAGGTGGAATTGATGGGTCTCCATCCTACAAAGAAACAAAGTACATTTCACTTTTTAAAATGCATTAAAAAACTAACATATATGTCAGCCAAGCTGGGAACAAAAGACCAGAACAAAGCCTACATTTGCTGAATTTCAAACCCAACCCAACCATTCTTTTTTTTTTCCTCCAACTGAACTATGTGAATTGAAATGAAGATGCCTTTAAAATACCCAGAACTCCAGGGAACCGGTTCCAATGGGAACAAAACCTATAGAGTTTTAAAAACTAATGAATAAGAACTAAGCAAGAGTCAAAATATTCTCTGACTGAACTAACAGTCCCATTCATAGGGTCATAAGAATTTAGAATTTAAAATTATTCTAAAGACCAACGTCCTCCTCATATGATGAGGTGACTGAGGTGCCGGGAGGTAATAAGAATATAGTAATGGGAATGGTATTCAGATAATAAGAGGCAGAGATGGAATTTGAATCTAGGCCTGCTCACTCCAGATGTTCTTCTGACTCTGCAACATGCTGTCTCACTCAGGTTAAGCCCTGATTTTAAATGAATGAAATCAAAAGAAAAGCTTACCACAAATTGGAATGGAAGGGAGTGCTATTTTTTGTTTGTTTGTTTTTAGAAGGATGGAGAAGTCAGTACCATCCAAATTATTGTTTTAAAAGAAAGGACTCCTTTCATGTTGGGTAGCTGTGCTCCCTGATCTGGCCCCCACCATTAAAAGGTGCTGAAGTCCAGATTTCAATGGGACACATTTTCCAGAGAAAATCTTTGCAAACAAGCTGCCTACCTCACTAAGACAATTCAATGGCTGCAGCACAGCTGGCAATTAATAGCGATACTATTAACAATATGTTAAAAAAAAAGAAAAAAAAGATTGTGACCATCACAGAGACAGAAGAAACCCAGCTAAACTCCTCGGGTAAGCTCATTCTCCCAAAGACCACATCCTCACTTCACAGTCTGGCTTGATTTCTCACCCAGGTGAATAGGCAATTTGCAAAGTAACTACGTACAATCAGCTCTCGGTATTTCTTTTTCAGAGACTGGTGCCGCTCCCGAAGCTGATTGGCCATGAGTTTGTACTGGTCTCTTTCCTGTTGACACGTATCCAGCTCCTTGGAAAGGATCAGTAAAGCCTCCTTTTTACTTTCTAGCTTCCTTTTGCACACCAGATACTGTAAAAGCAAACAAAACCAAACAAACTGTAAAAAGCAAACAAAATGATTCGTTGGAGACCTTTAGCCATGCCAATGAACCTTTTAGCATTCTGGCAAAGTCATTACTAAGGTGGGGTAACTGGAGCAGTGGCCCATAGAGCCAGAAGTTAGAAAGGTCCTAATCACACTTTTAGTTCTTTGGCAGCTTAGCAGCAACTAAATGTAGCACCAAGTTAGCAATAATAATAATGAGAAGCTCCCACTTGGCTGCTTATTCCTTGGAGGCCACACCTCAAGCAAGCTCCTCCCCATCCCAGCCCTGCCCTCTTCCACATCTCCCTAGTAATGGCCTAGTGATATTCGAGGGCAGGGGTAGGGAACCTGCACCCTCAAGGTCACATGTGGCCCTCTAGGCCCTCTAGCTCCTCAAGTGCCACCCTTTGAGATTTGTTCTGTGAAGTTTGGATTCAGTCAAAGGGCCACACTTGAATACCTAGAGGGTCACATGTGGCCTCGAGGCTGCAGGTTCCCACCCCTGTCTAGGGTCTCTACTGAACCTTGCCCACTCCCCAAATGATCTGAAGGCACAATTTTCATGCTGGTCACCCAAGGTGCAAAAGTTGCTAGTTACAGCTCTACATTCTAGGATCAATATTTTGGCAGCCAGAAAAAGAAAATCCAATCATAAGATATATTAATAGAAGCATGTTTTTAAACCTAGGGAGGAAGTATTGTTGTACTCTGTGCTGGCCAGACAACATGGAGAACTGCATAAATGCAATTTTTTTTTAAGAAGGATGTTAACAGATTTGAGAGCAGAAAAGGGTAACTAAGATGTCTATGGAACTGGAAACCAGGTCATTCAAGTACCAACTGAAAGAACTAGGAAAATTCCAGCCTAGATGAAAAGCAGGGACAGGGAAGTCACATTAGAGCTACCTTTTAGTATTTGAAGGGTTGTCATATAGGACTAGAATTAGACTAAATCTATTTAGATTTGCCAGAAAACAGAACCAAGTAGAAGCTGCCAAGAGATAGGTTTTCAATGAGAACTGTCCAGCTGGAATGTACAGCCTTGGGATTGAAAGGATTCTCCTTAATTGGGGGTCTTTAGATGGACCTGGATGGTCAATGGGGGTGGGATGTTGTAAAGGAATCTCCTATTCTAGTTTGGGTTGGGCTATAGCACCTCTGAGGTCCCTTCCAAATCTGAGGTTCTAGGACATTTACTTTAACACTTCAAGGCTCTGTGGTTTCATCAATGTGTCTACTCTCTTCCCTTACAATGATCATACATTCACACCTTCATCAATGATTGTCTCTGCGAGTTACTATGGCCAAAAGATTTATCACCACGTAGCCAACCTGGTGATGCATCTCTTCCTACCTAACTATACTGGGTGTGATGGTACACTCCTGCTACCAGAGAGGGGGAGGCCATGGATAACTTGAGCTCAGGAGTTTTGAGCTACAGTAGGCTAAAACTGAATGAGTGTCTGCACTAAATCTGGGGCTAATATGGTGAGCTTTTGGGAGCACAGGGCCACCAGGCTGTATATGGAGGGACCATTTGGCCTAGGTCAGAAAAATGAAGCAGGTCAAAGCTTCTGTGCCATAAATAATAACAATAATAATAATAATAATAATAATAACTAACATTTCTATCATACTTACTAGGTGCCAGGTACTATGTTTAGTGCTTTACAAATATTATCTCATTTGATCTAAACCACAATCCAGTGGAGTGAGCGCTATCATTGTCAAGGTGACTTGACTAGGATCACACAGCTAAGGACATTTAGAGTATAGGAATGGAATGGAATGGAATGGAAAAGTGCTTACTATTTAGTGCTTGCTATGGGCCAAGCATTGTTCAAGGATAACAACAAACAAACAAACAAACAAACAAATGAATGAGATCACAAATGAATAATAATGATATGTATTTAGAATTTAATTATTTCATAGTAATTTGGTATGAATAGGGTTATAGTTTATATATGTCGCAGGTATCTTTAAAGATTATATAGTCCAAGACTCTTATTAAATGGATGAGGTCTAATGAGATATATTACTTGCCTAATGACAAACAATTCAATTAAATTCAATAAATATTTATTTTTGTTCTTGTTCTGTCATTTCAGTCAGGTCCAACTCTTTGTAACCCCATTTGGGGTTTTCATGGCAAAGATACTGGAGTGGTTTGACATTTCCTTCTCCAGCTCATTTTAGAGATGAGGAAATGGAGGTAAACAGGATTAAGTGACTTGCCCAGGGTCATACAGCTAGTAAGTGTCTGAGGCTAGATTTGAACTCAGCTCTTGCAGACTCCAGGCCTGGTGCTCTATCTACTTCACCACCTACCTGTCCCAACTCTTATTAAGTGCCTACTATATTCCTGCTGGGAATGCAAAAAGAGGCAAAAGACATCCCTGCCCTCAAGGAACTTATAATCTAATGGCAGGGGAGACAATATGCAAACAAATATATACAAAGCAAGCTACAGTACAGGATAAATAGAAAATAATTAACAGAGGAAGGTAATAAATGAAGGAATCAATCTGGTATTCAAATCTAGGTATTCTAACTCCAAATCTAGGGCTCTTCCCATTACTACATTATTTCATTTGACCGTCATCAGAACCCACTGAATGGAAAATATGATTCCCATTTTACTGAGGCTCAGGTTTAATGGCTCACTCATCTAATAAGTGGCTGAAGTGGAACCTGAATCCAGCTCTTTTCAATTCAAGTCCAATGCCATTTTTCCTACAAAATAATCTCTTTCCAACAACTACTAATAGGTGGTGCAATGGATAGTGTATCCTCCCTGGAGTCAGAAGGACCTGAGTTCAAATCTGACCTCAGACACTCTGTGACCTTAGGCAAGTCACTTAACCATGATTGCCTCAAAGGAAAAAAATTAAAAAAAAAAACAACACTACTAAGATACTAAGCCAGATTTTACCACACCACTCTACCTAGGAGAAGCACCTTCAAGTAGGCCAAGGAGAAGAACACAGTATTCTACAGGCATAGCTTTTCTCCTCTGCTTTTAACCACCCAGCAATGACATTTGCAACTTCTTCCATAATTCATACACACACACACACACACACACAAAACACACAGATTCATTTTCATAAATCAGTTCTTTCAACTATACTCCAAATCCTCTGCAAATATTCTGGTACCCTTGACTAGATTTCTCACTTCATGAAGCTAGGCAGATACCTCCGTGCTCCACCCCTTGCCCTGCCCAGCTCCCTCCCATACATGTCCTCCCTCGTCCCCACCCCACCTGACAGTTATCAGCCTGGGCACCTGAAAGCGTGAGCGCACATCATTCTTTAAATTTATTGAATATATTGCATAGTTTGATGTTATTCACATATATGAAATGTGGCACTAAATACCTTTTGGATTTGCCCTGTACAAGACCAAATTCCGAGCATTCATGAAAACAATTTATAGTTTCATTATACACTTTGACATGAATACTTTGTCATTACGGCCTCTCATACAAAGCCAGAGCGCACATCAGCACTTCCTGACCGTCCTGAGTCAATGCTGTTTTTATGGACAAAAAGCATTATTCAGAGAGAGAGCACTTGCTTGGAATTGACTTTGTTAAGTTCAATTTCAAATAAATGAAAGAGGAAAATGGAGGGTTTTGTACATTAGCACAAGCTTCTTTTTCTAAAATTAAAAAAAAGTAATTGCTTTGCTTGGAAAACAAAGGGGCAAGAGAAACAATTGTGAGATGGATTTGAGCTCTAAGAGAGGACACTTCCACCTCAGAGAAATTTTATCCCTGGCAGTAATGAGGTTGGAATCCTGCCTTAAAATGTCCTGGATTCTGAGTCTTTGGCATCATCTTTGTGCAGGCAAAATGGTCCTGTTTTTCCACTCAAGAGAAAAATCCCCATCAGGTAAATATCACAGGAAAAGTGTTCAAAATGTACACTTACATGTTCTAAAAAGAACCACTAGGATTTCAAGAATAAAAATATATACATATATCATGTGCAGACAATTTGCAGATCTGCCCTATTGCCTCTGTTTCTTTTAGAATTTATTATTATTTAAAATAAAGGCTGCAACAAAACCAGAACCTTTATTCCTTAGAATTTATCCATTCTTCACCTCAAGTCACAAAACCATACTGAGAAGCCTTATGACCCTCTATGGGGTCTGAAGGAGGGGGACTGAGACAGTTAAATTTTAGAGGTTATGGTTAGATGCATGCCATTGTCCTGTCAGATAAGAAGAAAGGTTGGAGCATCTCTTATTTATAATGCCTGGCACAACAGAGGCTTTTAATAAATACTTGCTGATTGATTGACTATGATTTATGAGGAACTGAGAAAATTCAGATCAAGCTGTCCTGTCATTAAGTACAGATGTAAGCCTAGTATGACGCCACTGAAGGGGCTAACAAAAATGTCCTTTTGCTGCAACTGCTAGAGATGGGGGTGTTGCAAAGAAAATCTTTAGCACTTTCCCATCTTATTAAAAGAGCTGGCAGTACCTGCCCAAGGCTTCCAGGTAAACAACACTGTTGGTACAAGGATATCTCTGAGATTTCTTTCCCTTGGGGAACAGAGGCAGCATGGCTTAAAAGAAAGGACAATAGATTTGAGAAGACCCAGGAGACCTAGTTTCGATTCCTAAGTTGAATACTTCCTAACTATGTGAACTTAGGAACTTAGAAATGTGAGTTATTTTTAATAAGTTAATAAATTAAGCCATAGTAGTTCTATTAACATATCTCATCATAATGTGAAAAGGCTGGTGGATTCTTGAAAGTTAGGCTGGAGGAACACAGTTTCTGACAGATTCTGAAAATCTGAAAAGGTTTTGTGCACATATTATAGCTTTCCCTTCCCCCCTCCAAGTAGAATGCACCTTTATTGAGTGCAAATGCCATTTGCTTAGGTATCCCCATCACCTAAGCATGTCCCATTTTCTTTCCCACTAATAAGAAGAAATAAAGAGTATGGAAAAAGCCACAAAAA